CGATCACGCTGATCATGCATCCTAATATAGTTATGATGCGCCATTGTTGCAATAACTATTTTTACTTGCTTCTTAAATGAATAATTAGGCATGTCTCTCAAAATTTTCCATTTTTTCTTCCAAACACCAAAAGTGCGTTCAATGACACTTCGAAGAGAAGAATGTGCTTGGTTGAATACCTCTTTACTGCCCATTAGTCGACGACCCATTCGAAATTGTGGTAAATGGTATCGTTCTCTTTTATAAGGTCCAAGAAATCCTTTCAATTGTGGATAGCCCGCATCAACCAAATAATATTTACCTATTAAAATAAAAACACAAGAATTAGTAAAATGTAAAACATATATAATATAAAATATAGGCAATGTTTTAACCTTCAGGTGGTTTTGAAAATTTCAAATGTCGGTTACGTAGTGCTGATAAGAATATTTTTGTATCATAGGCACTACCTTCCCAACCTGCATATGCATATATAAATTTCATACTGAAATCACAAGCAGCCATCACATTTTGGGTTGACACATGCTTTCTTCTGATAAATGGCACCTGATCTTCTGGTGGTATTGTAGCTTGAACATGTACGCCATCTATCACACCAATACAATTCTAAAAAGAAGAATTTTTAATGTATAAATAAACATAATTTTAATAGGGAATAAAGCATATAAAAAGTATGCTTTTAGTAGGGAATGAAGCATATTAAAAGTATGATTTTACCTTAAAATGTGGCATATATCTACGATCCGTCAGTATCTCTATTGGTATGTCATTAAACTCTAGATCTGGAGGCTGTATAATATCGATGCTCATACGACATACAATTTCTAAAACATAATTAAAATATCTACTCACAGTCTCACCAGAGCGTTGAAATCGCTCTTGTGCTGAACGATTCCCCGCACCCTGACCCAAAATGAATAGAAACATTCCAAGTATTTCAGTCGCACACATATTCCTTGATCCCTGTAATCCATACTTACTCTGTAGATCATTACATAGCTTCAAAAACACGTTCTTATCCATTCTAAACATCCTATAACTTCTAATTTCATGCTCTCTTAATAATTCCGTCACCCACATGTTTCTCGTTTGTGAATAGTTCATACACGGATTCTTATGAACATACGTGTTGTAGTAATATTCAATGAGTCGAGCAATGAGACATGTAAATTGTAGATCAAACTCATCACCATTGTCAGCCATCTTTAGCAACAACAATAAACTGAAAAAAAAAATAGGATTGGCATGCAAAGGCCGGCACACCTCAAAGGGACCACATATTATTATGTCTTAAACATAAAGTAATAAAACCACACTGAAAAAAAATAACAATGTCTCCAACATGAATACAAGAAAAAGACCAAACTGAAAGAGAATAACAATGTCTCAACCTAAAATACAACAAGAAAACCGCACTAAAAGGAAATGAGGAATGGAAATCTAAGTGGAGGATCCTAGCCCATGTTCAAACTTAAGCCAATTGAGCTTCACCTCAGGTTCCTTAAAAGCCATAAATGCGTCTCTCTTACACTTGTCTAACAACAAGTGAACCGAAAAGAAATACAACTCGCTTCCAGTTTGTAATCCTGGTAATGAATCTAGAACTTCAACAACTTTTGCCATGCTACAGTTTCCAGTGTCAGATGGCGCAATCGATGATCCAGTACTTCTACTCTCAACTATATCGACAAGGCGATCAATTTGTTGAGACAATTTAGCAGCCCCTCCAACCTTCACATTTCCTTTTCCTTTCTTGACTTTATTTTGTCTCTCATCTCTCTCAATTGGCCTCTTATTCTTACGGGCTTGTGCCAATTCACTTCGGATTGGTTCACCTGACTCACCACTACTCTCAAGTTGTTCAGGTAGACTAGATTTATCATTTTCACCTTTATCAGACTCACATGGCACTTGTCCAGAAGATGGTGTCCAAGCATACACTCCTGTGGCCACAGTATTCATGAACATCCTATTTAACTTTTCTTCTAACAGTGGTTCAATTCCCCGAGTGCGAAACCTCGCTGCGTTGGGATGAATCTGCAAGAGCATTTGAAAAAATTAAACCTGCCTAGTCCAATACTAGAATAAAGAATGACAAATCCTATAATTCTGTATACCTGCAATTTATTATGCCACCACTCCTCAGATGCATCAATAGTATTCTTCTTAATGTTCAAACCTAAACCAGTTTCTTTACCAATAAGTTCCTTCCAAAGCTTCCAATCATTCTTCAAAGCATCCCATTTATTCTTCAATTGTTGTCTTTTATATACTCGTTTGGTTGCTTCATTAAATTTCTGAATTAAATTTTCCCATCCAACTTTATCCAAATGAGTTCCAGGACGGCGTCCAGCTTCCACCTCTATAATATACAAAGCATCCCATTTATTCTTCAATTGTTGTCTTTTATATACTCATTTGGTTGCTTCATTAAATTTCCGAATTAAATTTTCCCATCCAACTTTATCCAAATGAGTTCCAGGACGGCGTCCAGCTTCCACCTCTATAATACACAAATCACAAAACACATCCACAGTCTCGGGGTCCCATATTGCTTTACCTTGTGGTATACTACCCTCCATTTGAGAATTGATAACTGAAAGTCTAAAACAATGTGAGGCTTCATGCTTTTATTTACAAAAACAATAATAAGGGTAATACTAACCTTATTTCCAATTCAAACACTCACTCAATAGCCAAGCTAATCATAGCTTCTACTCCTAGATACTTCACCTAAAAATTGCTAATCAAGAATAGAATGCTAATTCGATTTACAACAATTGTGCCTAATGATCACTTTCTCTTAATTATTATGAGATAATTTGATGAAAATCTTCGGATGCTTCCTAATAATTATCCTAATAATAGAGTTTTTTTTTTCATATATACCCTGTCATAAATCGACAGAAATGACAGCAAACAACAACCGGCAACAATGTACAAGTATATGAGCAATGTGAACAAACGACAGAAAGCATATGCATCAGCAATATGAGCAACAAACGATAGCAAATAACAACAAATGACATATGAGCAATGTGAACAATACACAGAAAACATATGCATCAGCAATGTGCAAGTATATGCATCAGACCCAATTTAGAAATACATTACTCAATTCAACAATCAGAGGAACTTTCAATCAATTCCCGAGCACACAGAGGAACTCAAAACCGGCAACAATGTACAAAATTTCAATTCTCGTTGATGATGATTCAACAATGTCCAAATTTATAGAAAATCAAAACCGTAAACCCATTTCCGCGCAAATCAGACCCAATCTAAAAATCGGAGGAGAAATCACACTAAAACCCAATCTAAAATCAGACCCGATCGTTTTCTTTGATTGCAAAAAATCAAAACCCTAAAACCCAAAATACAGGCGGAATAAAAATCAAAACGAAATCCAAATGTTCAAACCAAAAAATTTCGCACGGTTAGAGAGGCTTACCTCTTGATTTGATGATGATAGACGGGCAGTCGTCGTCGGAGGAGATGGGCGATCTGCAAACAGACAATCATGCGGAGGAGAAACCAACCGAGCTCCGACTGACGAACGGAGAGAGACCGGCGAACGGAGAGAGAGACCAAACCTCAAACAGAGAAGAGGGGAGAGGATAGAACGCACAAGAATTTTTTTTTGCAGGGGACGAGAGTGATTCCAGAGGAGGTGAGCGGAGGAGAGTCGGGGGAGATAATGAAAATGAAGTTTGATGTGGTAAATTTTAACTTTCATTGAGAAATAAAAAATTTCATTAAAACCACAAAATAAATTCCTGCATAATCTAACATCAGAATCAGCCTTAAGGCTGATTCTGATTTTAACTTCAGATTGGAAGAAAATTATTCAACAATCTGTTTTACCAAACAACTTTTTAGATTTTAGATGTGTGAAAAAGTGCTTTTTCTCTCCTAAAATCAATACCAAACCCACCCCTTGTCCCGCATCACCCCGATGAATTTGGATGAACGACCATGCAGTACCTTAAATTCGTAACTCCTATATCGAGTTGCATCAAACCTTTGCCTATGATCGAATGCCTCTTTACCACGCCACCGGTCCACAAATATGGCCGGTCAAGGGTGGATCATTTGGCATTGGCAGCAAGCCTGTACTAGGAATAATCCACCAGAAGCCATGGAAATGATGCCGCCCGGAATTGAGCCATGTTTGTAGCTCCTCCGGGCAGCAATACAGGATCGCACCTGCATTAACCTGATGGATTCCACTACAGAGCACCTTGCAGGACAAGGTAAAACTGAACAGAGCTCACCACAATGATAAAATGCAGTTTACAAATAGATCCAGAATTAACTACTCATTTTGATTAAAGTTACGTAATAATCTCCAAAGACACGATCATCACACATAAGTAGTAAATGAAATTTTTGAAATTTTCAGAAATGAATCGAAATTTTCGTTTGAACATCATCTCCTCGACTTAATTTCAGCAGCAGAAAACGAAAAACTATAAATCTGTGTAAAGAAAAGACATTCGAGACTCAAATAAACAAAGATCTCCTAACAAAATTTTTGCAGAGCCGCAAAGGCACAAGATCTGCCAGTACCTAACGTATAAGCATGTCTTACACGACCATCTTTACTGCTTCCTGTTACCATAAGGATTGTCGCTGCTGAATCCGTGTCGCCTTCCTTCGACTTTCCGCATCTTCTTCCGAAACTTTGAGGCGCTGCTGTCTATATTCAAGCTCACTTTGGGTGGGTTGGAAAAGCAGAAAGATGCAGCAACCGCCTGCCAAATCGACAGTAAGGAAATGAACAAGTGAAGTGAAGAAAATGGAAAAAGAAACAATCATCACATAATAAAGCCTAACAGCAGGGTGGTAAGAAAAGATAGATGACTGCACTTTACAAATTGGACGAAAAACTGGTACCTGCATATCAAGGCAGTGCACATTGAAAATGTCCTTCATAGAGTGTGAATTGTAGGCTAAGATATAGGATCTGTAGGCGTCTTTTGCGGATTTGTTCAAATAGTAGTTATTAGCCACCAATTTCTCCTACATCATTTAAAAAGACATTTTTGATTGAGGTTTGCTTGTTTACCAAATAAATTACAATCAATAATCAGCACAGAGAGAAGCGTCAGTTACCAGGTGAGACTTCACATTACGAAGTTTCTTCTGACTGAATAGACACTCTTTAACAGGAACTTTCACTGCCTGAAAACAACCATAAAGTATATATTAAATATAAAAGAAATTATTGAAAAAAAAAAAAAGAATTCTCATGCGCCCTTTTCATTCATAGCACACCCTCTATAAGAATTATCGACCTCCTAAGAACATCGTTCTTCTAAACGCAGGAAATTGTTTTTTGGCTGATCAAGTTCACGTGACAATATTGCCAGTCGCCTCTAATCTCTTTGTTTTATAATTTTCTTTTCTCTACTTTATTATACTCTTTTCTCTAAAACAAAGACTTTCTATTTTACTATTTTGCTAAAAGAAAATATTATACCTTGAGATACTTAAGAAATTGCAACTCTTCAGGAATGAGAAACAGCAGCGCCTTTCCTTTTGCACCTTCCCCACGAGCCGTTCGACCAACCCTATGAATATATTCCTGCAAGCAGCAACTCCAAGGTCAAATGTCACAAATATGTGTGAAAAGTTTTAAGTGACTAAAATATCTCAAGATAAAAATGGCGGGCACCTTTGGATCATCAGGAGGATCATACTGAACAATCCAGTCCTACAAGCAAAAGAGAGGTTAAATAAGATACAGAAAGATGTTATGAGCTCCCAAATGACTAAATGATAGCCATTTCCTTTTTGATTTAGATGAAATTGATAATATCACAAAATATTCAAGCTAAATCATGACATTAAAGTATCACCATAATTAGAATTGTTGTATGGCTCTGGTTCTGTTTTTCTAGAGAGCTTTTTTCCTTTTACTTTTTGTACTCACTTTCTATTTATAAGATTTTCTCGTCTCTTTCTCAAAAAAAAAAAAAAAAAGAAAGGAATGAACCATAAGTTTCAGCAGTTAATATTAGAACTCCAATATTTAAAGCCAGATCATTATCCAACAGGGAGGAGAAGAAGAGCTACTGACTCATGAGATAGTGCCAACTCAATTTGCTTTATCTTATCAATCAACCGAGAAAATGTGTAACTGCTCATCCGAAGGCAAGGATTACCACATGCGTGGTTTTAGTTTCAAACATTCACATACGTGAAACTAAAAAGAAACATTTTACTTAAGTTATCTTTTGTATGAGAGCGTGAATAATTCTTTGTTTGTCAGCAATTATTCTTCAAGAGCATTTCTAATGCTGAAGAACATTGATTGAGAAATAAAAACTATAATGTTTGTTCTTTTCACAACTCAAGTTTTATTGCTATAGTATTTTCTCTCACAAAAATTCAAATTCCACTTTTTTGCTACAGTGTTTTTCTCTCACAAACACAACTCAAGTTAAGAACTTGAGTTGTGAAGCAAACACTTATAATCCAGGCAACATAGAAAAGGAAATACACATACCACGGCAGGTATATCCAGTCCACGAGCAGCAACATCAGTACATAGCAAAATTCCTTTCTCTGCTCCGCAGAATTCAAAAAATGTATTTGTTCTCTTTTGCTGCTTTTGCTTTCCATGGATATCAAAGCAAGGGACCTGAATATATCTTAGAAGCTCACTGTGGAATGTGACCGAGTTACATGAAGAGAAAAAGACCATAATTTTTTGAGAGAGATGACTTTTTAGGAAAGAATACAGAAGTATAAATCTCTTGGCACAAGGCACAACACAATAGCCTTGTTCCAGCCCTTCATTGGTAACCTGCCACACCATAATTTCAAAAGGTTCACAAAAATGAGAATTAAAAGCCACAAATTTATAAATTAATATTTGAGAACCATGTAAAATCTGAAATTAACGATCTAATGTTTTACCTTAGTTCTACGATCATCCACGCCAACATAGATTGGTTTTGTCTGGAAAGATAAGCGAGCAAGATCTTCAACCTACAGTTTTATCGCAAAAAGGTGTAAAATGAGAAAATAAAAATACCAAGAAGCCCATAATAAAAGCAACAATTATCTCGGGAAAAAAATTTAAAAACAACAAACAGCAGGGTATCAAACTTCTAAAAATGAGGAACTTAGCTGAAACATCACAAACAAAATGACCAAGTTAAAGATGGACATCAAAAGATTAAAAGGTTTATAGAGCACTAGGTCAGTCTAAGGTACAGATATATTGCACATACCTTCCGTGTTTGGGTTGCTGAGAATAAAGCCGTTTGCCTAGTCTGCAAATTTGTTACAAACTCAATCAGCTAAACATTTTCAAACTTGGATATTGCAACATGTTATCATAAGTTTGCAACTACAAACAGAAAGAACAAAGGATATCCATCCGTTGAAACTACAGCTGGAAATGGTCACATCACTGTTTACTTGAAAAACAATTTGACGAAACTTTATCACATTCAAGCATAGAAGACAAATTCTCATTCTACATAACCAAGTTAAGGTATAGCGTAAAACAATTTCAAAGCCTTGATAATTCCACTTCAGCATTTATAGTCCATAAATGCATGATCGGAAAAGATTATATAAAAGCAAGATCCTATTGCCCTTCCCCACTACTCCAAAATGATGCTACAGCAATAATCAATTGCCCTAACGGCATAACACACCAGGTCATCTACCAAACTCCTACAAGAATGTCAAGTAAAGATTTGAACTATAGATTTTACCTTCGGTAGAATCTTGATTAATTGCTTCATTTCTTCCTCAAAATTTGTTTCCAGTATCCTGTCAGCTTCATCTATCACAAGACACTGCAAGTGCAAGTAAATTGGAGAGAAAATAATTACAATGCAAATATATAGACAAACATTGAGAATATAATATGACAAAGAATACGCAAAACATTTCCTAATCAGATGCACAGCATGGAACCATTCTCCATATTTGACAACATTGATATAGAAATGGAAATGCCAAGTAATAGCATACGCTACCTTTAGATTTTTATATATAAACCCTTTTGTGTTTTGAAGATGGTCAATAAGACGACCTGGAGTCGCCACCAATAAATTTACCCCTTTTACAATACGCTCTGCTTCCCCTCTTCTAGCCGCACCACCAAAAACTACGCCAAGTGTCTGTGAATGATGTTTGAGAAGGTTCTTTGCCACAGCGTGGGTCTGAATTATTTAAATAGTGAATCAGTCAGTAAAACATAAAGAAGATTAGAACAGAACCGAGAATATAACGAAACAAATATAGAATGGAAAGTGGCTAAGTAAATTCAGCTGCACCTTTTTCTTTGGGTGAAAATAAAAGGATAAAAAGAAACTTATCAAAAACAAAAGAAGACTTGTTTTATATTCAAAAAGTAAAAGAAAATGTCCAGACAAGATCCTGATTCTCATATCTTCTATATTCAAATTGACACAAATTTAAGTCATCCAAACATGTCAGAACCTAGACGCCAAAGATGTTATGTGTGTGTGTTCCACGTGCTTTGAAGAAAAACATTGTCAGTTATATGAAAGAGATGAGCAACACAACACCAGGGTTTCACCCAGCCACACCATTGTTACAATTAACAATTGAGAAGGATAGCATCACAATGAAAAAGGTCCTTAGTAAGATCACTTATGAGAGCTTGTAATTCATACACGTTATAACAATAACTACAAGACAACTTGAACAGATGACATATTTGTACAAGCGATCCTTAAGCCTCGGCAACTAAGCATATATTTTATTGTCTAAACCATAAAGTATATAAGGATAAAAATAGTATGCGAATGGTCTATACTCTATAATCCATATTTCAAAGGAGACAAATAAAAAAACTAGATCAGCCAAGTCATCCACATCTTTGGGTAACTAGCAAGTACATAGGATGTACTCCCAGTCTACCATGCAGAGCACGCTCTTTTTTTATAAAAAAAAATAATAATAACTTCCTTACATTGATGGGAGTCCTCAAAAAGCAAAATAATAATAGATAAGACAAAATAAAAGAAACAAAAAGCTAAACAAAGACCCTCAAACACAACAATTAGCCCCCCCATCACATCCTCCCAATTTTAAAAATCAAAGAAGAAGGGAAAACAGAACCAGACTCTTCTACCATGATTTTGTTAACTGTTAGGGCCCTGTAGTTGGTTAGTTAGCAAAGCTACAAGTTGTTAGAATTCTGTTATGAGCCAGGGAGTTTGTTAGACAAATATTCGCAGTATAAATAAGAGGATAGCCAGTGATGAGGGGGTGTGGATTGTTTTGGGATTCTTTTGGGGCTTGGGAAACCAAGATTAGGGCGAGTGGTGGTCTCCTCAAACACCACCAAGTTACAGTTTAATACTGTAATTCTCCAACTCTCTACAATTAAAGGTTAGTTCTGTTAGTTCCTCTCTCTTTTAGTTAGGTTCCTAACATTAACATTGATAACGAACAAGAATATTCACCTGTATTGCAAGCTCTCTTGTTGGGCAAATAATCAAAACTCCAACACCATTACGTGGAGTAAAGTGCGTGTGGTGCAACAATTCCACGGCCGGTATTAGAAAAGCAAGCGTTTTACCAGAACCTGTCCTGGCAGCTCCGAGAACATCTTTTCCTTCCAGAAGTGGAGGGATAGCTCCGGCTTGAATCTACATTGACATTTAAGGTACATTAAACATCTAATGAACACTCTATAACCATTGATCGGAAAAGTAACACCTACGGAGAAATATCTCTTTTTTAAGTTTGCAGGGGAAAACAACCAAAAAGTACACTTGCCATAAGGAGTGCACAAAGGAAAAAAGGGGGGGTGGGGGGTGTTCTTTCTGTACAATATGAGATTGAAAAGAATTAAGCAACCAGAAGCTCTGTAAACACACTACAAGCAGATAAATTAATTTCCATCAAATACTAAAAAACAAGAAATATATATATATATATATATATATTTCTTGAATACTTGCATAACTATTTTACAGATTTCCGTTTAACATCTCTTCTTTTTTTTTCTTTTTTTTCCCCTACAGAAGCTCTTGCTCTCAAGACATTCTATTCCACTCCAACAATGAAAAAACCGCACATGAAAATCACCGGCCCTCCTAGTTCATGTTAGAATTTATGATATTAAATCCAACAACACAATCCTCAAAAGGGATAAACTTGAAGGGGAAAATGACCAAATAATGTTTGAGGGTGACCAGAGATTTCTAAAGCCTATAATAAACTCTTAAAAACCACTTTCTCAACAACACAATTTCCCAAGTCAAGAAATTTCATTTGTGAGAAACTTCATTTTTAATGTTTCTACAAGAAGAAGAAGAACAACAACAACATTCGCAAAACATAAAGCAGTACTTTTTCTGAATCCCACAAAATAAATAATATCAGAAACCTGAGTCATATGCTGAAAACCCATCTCGTTAATGGCCTTCAAAGTGGGCTCAGACAATCCCAATGAAGTGAAAGCCTCTGTGCTCATAATCCCATACCCAACACCACTACTCTTCACCTTCTTCTTCTTCCCCTCCTCTTCCTCTTCCTCTTCCTCTTTCTCTTCCTCTTCCTCGCCATTTTCTTCTTCTTCTTCTTGTGGTTTCGGTTTCTCTCTGTTCTTCTTCTCCTTCTTCTTCCTCTTATCCTTCTTATTATCCTCTATCTTCTGAATCTCCTCTGCTTCTTCTTCTTTTTCATCTTCTACTTGGGTTTCGTTGGGGTTGGGGGCCTCAGAAGACTCGGAGGGCTTCTTGGGTCTGTTTCGCTTGCGCTTTCTCTTCTTGGCCTCGTCGGCGGCGGAGGAATGCGACGTGTTTGGCTCCGAATAGTCGGCCATGGCGGCGGCTGCGCTCGCTGGTTCTCTGGCAGTCTCACTGATGGTTTTACGGTGTTCTAAAGGCTGTGTATTTGCTAGGGCTCACATAAAACTTTCGTGTCTTGCAATTTTTTTGGGGGGTTATTTTAGCCAATGGATCTAAATTTTTTATTCTTACAAATTAGCCCCTAATCTTTTATTTTTTAACGATTTTGATCCCTCACATTATAAATATGCTAAGGGAGAGGAGTTTTGCATTGCACCGGTCATTCACTCACAAAATACTGTTTATTTTACTGATTTAAATTTTGTTATAATAAAAAATTTTTAAAAATAATCACATTTAATTTTTTTATTATAATAAAATATTTTCATATAAAATAACATTTTAACTCAAATTAAAATTTTTTTTATTATAATAAAATATTTTCATGTAAAATAACATTTTAATTCAAATTAAAAATTCAAATCAACAAGCTAAATTCGAATAACATTATAATAAGGGGAGTTTCTCTATTTCTCTCTTGGGAATTCTTTTATATTCCAAGAGCATTGCTTCTTTTGGTTCAAGATTTTCTTTCATACCTTGATTTTCAATATGGTTGTGTGTTAATATTTGAAGAAGTTAATTCTTTTTTTCTTTTAATATAAATGTTTTCTAGGCATTATCTTTCTTTGAGAAAACGTGGGGCTCCTTTTGTTGTTCTTTTAAACAGAGTCTTGGGTCTCAAGATTTCAATTCTTTGTTGTTGTATGTGAAAGTTATTGTCTTGATTAGAAATTGTGCTCCTTTGCTAATTGTTGATAATTTATTGGATTAAGAAACTGTTTATTTTCAATGTAAATTATTTTCACATGATGTGACACTCCGGAATCAAGGAGCGAGTGACCATATTGTCCACAAAATTGACACTTGCCGAGGTATGGTTTTAGGCTTTGATTTTGAGTGGTGGGTTCAGCCATTAGGTTCCGGTCGTGAGAGCTAATGAACTCTCTGATACCATAAAGAATTTAGAGAGAGAGAGAGGAATTTTTGTGAATAGCTTTTTTTTTCCTCAATTTTCATTAACGTTAACATTTACAATATATTTGTTGCGTGATTTTTATGCTCGCAAGTGTACGTGCCGAACAAGTAATAAAGTGTGAGTAGAGTATCGTTCCCATGGAGAAAGTTTTCAATATTTTCCTAATAAGATTCAAAAAATGCAACGTAAACAAATTTAATGGTTTGATTCAATTATGAAGACTAAAAGAATTGCAATAAACGCAAGTAAATAAATGTATACTAAGTTATCAAAGGAGAAAATCAATCTATGTGAATAACTGGGATTCAATTTCCCCGTCCCTGCAATCTGGCTATTTATGCTACAACTTTTGCTACAGCGTTGTTGCAGGTTAACCTGAAACACGCACTTAACACAGGAATCTCCCGATCCACTTGTGATTTCGCCTCTTTACTCATATTTCAACATATTCCTATGAGAAATCTAAACGTAGAGGTTAAGTTAAGCATAGATTTTAATTGGGTTATGTGAGACAAGTGTATATTCCTATACTACATGCAAATCAACTATATTTCTTTGTGAAATTTAGCTAAACAACACATTGTTCAATATTTGTCTAAATTCTAATCAAACTTTCCAGCCAATTGAACTCACAGTTTTCTGTTTTAGATGGCCAATCAGTAAACAAAAATGAACAATAACGTTTATATTGAACAAACAAGAACAACATCAAAATAGCCAAAGTAAGCATAAACAACGTCAATTACAGATCTGGGTACTTTATCATCGTAGCCAAGTTACTTTAGCTCATACTTGCTCTATTAATTCCAACAAAATGCACAGCCATGAATTGAATACAGAGGAAGAGGAAAGATAAACCAAAATGATGAGGGCAACAGTAAAGGCTAGATGAAGCTTGGTGGATTCCTCCCGTGGCTTCACTCCCTGGGATTTCCAGCAAAATTTCTCTCCTCTGTACTGGCTTTTCTTTCTCTCTCTCTCTCTAATTTTCATGTTTACTCTTTGCTGCCAGTTTTTCTTTCACTCCCTGTATGCTCTTCTATTTTCTCATCTTGCTCCTTATTCTTTTCTCCTGCGGCGCCCCCTCCGTTTCTTGGGTTTTCAGGTGCAATCCTCTTTAGGGCAATCCAGGACGCTGAGGTGGCATGTTGGGTCTAGCTGACTAGGCACCAATTCTATCTTATGCGTTCGGTGTCCTAATCCCCGTGCAAAGTTATGCACTGACGTCATCCACTAAATGCTTGCTGTCACATTTTTGCTGTAACAATTGCTGCAGCATTTATCGTCACAAAATTTGCAAATCAGAAACAAGACCCCTTTTGCCACACGTTAGCACTTTTCTTCAAAATTAACACAAGAAGCACACACAAATGAATCTCAATAGAGTGCACCACATGAATCAAAAGTTGAGCAAATACACCAGAAAATTAACAACTAATCCTTTAGACGAACCAATTATAAGCATAGAAATGCCTAAAATAACTCTAATTCCTAGAGTTATCAATATTCATGTAGAATCTTTACATAAAAGAAAAGAATGAAAAATACACTACAAATCTCCTAAAATAAAAAATGACTAAGAATAATAATTACAAAATATTTTCACTTCTAAAATCATAATTTATGATTATGATGGAGGTGGACGGGAGATTATCGGGAATAAATAATTTAATTGCCTTTTATGGCAATTTATGTCAGCAATGGTGTTAATGTCGAGTTGAGAAATCTCAACTGGGTAACGCTTCTACTTTGCAATTATAACAAGCTCTGAAAATTAAACCCTATTCCTATTATGACGAAAAATGGAAACCTCCAGCACAACTCCTCTCTTTTAACTATTCTCAATCAGCTCAAAGACGCAGACGTCTCCCCGATGCATAGAGTTATCTTTCAACAAAATCTTTTTTAAGGAAAGGTCCTTACATGATAATTATAACTGAAATTTTTTTACTGATCTTGAATTAATTAATACTAACTATTGAATTAAATTAATTAATCTCAATTAATTTAACTGGATGTTACATTCTACCCCCTTAAAGAAATTTCATCCTCAGAATTAAAACAAAATATGGGTAGCGGTTAAACTTGTGAAAACAACAACAATGAAATGCAAAAAAACGAACAATGTTACCGATTTCATCACTTTGCGACTCCTCGTGATTTCTTGTATGATCACGGCTTTTCATATATCAACAAGGTGAATTATCATTTCTATACACGTCTAAACTTTTAACTTCTAACGAGAAGGGTTATACAATGTTGTAGAATTATTGAACAAGAATCATCACGAACATGATTCTTGTAGTGCTTAGGGAAGTCATAGATTATCAACATCTAGCCAAGCACTTTAAGCTAAGTGCTTAGGGAAGTCATTCATTTAATCAGACTCGGATTATCTAAAAGAATCATTCAGGCCTCGTTCACTTTGCGGATTTGAGTTTTTAATTCGAGTTGAGATGTAACATTTTCTGAGAGCTTTTCACTGTAGCAGAAAAAGTTAGATGTGATATTTTCTGAGAGCTTTTTACTGTAGAAACCTAAAACTGAAAACTCGAATCGGTGAAATGAACGAGGCATCAATTCGCTCAGTTCTTTAATCTCACATCTGGGCTGATTTGATGTTTGTTACGGAAACACGTGCAAACCCTATTACGTGTCTCCAAAGGGTAGAAAACTAGTTCTTAATGAAAATAGACATCTAGGGCTTTTCAATGAGTTATTACATGCTCTATTTCAAATATTCTAAGCCTTTCAAACACCTCTTACAGGAAATTGAAATTATGAAATTTTAGCTTTTTAAGGCATTTTGAAAAGTTTATAAGCGAAACTTCAACTACGCACATCTCGGCCTACAAAAATCTAAACAGAGTGATTCCAAGTGTTACATCTCACTAATGATGCACACTAAATGGTAGGATAAGTGTCATACATGCAACGATCCCAGTTCTAGAAGTTGGGTTCAAATTCACACTTTTTTGCGTTATGTCAAGAACGTTGTTTTGACCTTTCCGACGGAAATGATCATAAAAAATTTTATATAGATATAAATGGTGTAATTTCAGTTTCCGAATAAAGTAGACACCTAGAGCTTTGAAACGAGCTATCATATGTTTAAATCTGAGCTCTCTAACTACCTCAAAAATAGTTTTTAAGAAATTAAAATTCTATTATTTCCTAGTTTTAACAGCTTTTTAAAAGTTTTTACATTAAATTTCTAATGCGCACAACTCGGATTACAAAAGTTCAAATGACGTGATTCTAACTCCCACACGTCACTAATAAAATGTTCTAAATAGTAGTAATGTTGGTTTAGGTGCAGCAATGCTATTTCAAAAAGTAGAGGTCTCAGTTCTTTGTTTTATCGATTCTTAAAAAAGTCAGTTTTGGTGACTGTTACAAGAATAATTATAAAATATTCTATAGCCCCAAAAATTACAAAATCAATGCCTAATTGAAGTAGACATGGAGTTTTTCAAAGAGCTATCATAAGCTTAGTTTCGGGTATGTTAAGGTCTTTAAAAACACGTTATACCAAATCAAAACGTGGTTGTCAAGCTTAATTTCAAAAATGCATAACTTGAGCTACAGTTATCCGTTTTGGATGATTTTCACAGCTACGTGAAGCTTATAAGACATACTAAATGATTCTAAACTCAATGTAAGTGCAGCAACTACGGTTTCAAGTTTGGGTCTTCAATTCATGAGTTTCTAGTTTTTACTCCATATGTAAATTTGACACATCTTAGTAAAACATGTACAACTAATTCCGCGGGACTCCTAAATCGATATCTCTAGCTCCTATAGGAACTAGACACAGGCCTTCGATTCAATATATTACATGTAAGGTTTGGAAACCGACAAGGCCTTCAAAAACACATAACAGAAAATCAAAATGGCCTGTATTTTCTGCATTATTTTGAATATTCTAAGTTAAATTATTCAGGGTACAACGTCCGTTTGGGAAAATCCTTATGGTTTACATGAAGTTCACGGAGTGTACTAAGTGATTTCAGAGTTGGTTTTTAATGCAACATCTATCAGTTTTAGAAAACGTCCAAAATAATGTTTATACTCATCACTAGAACTG